CCCTTCCCCTCTGGATGGCAGAAATGTCCTCCATGGGGGGAGTGTGGATTTTTCTGGAACAACCTGGTTTGGAGAAGGCTTTGAAATAAAGTCAGAATATTACCTTAAACACATTATCTTGATTTTAGTGCAAATTCTTGGATTTTTAACATACACGCACATCTGTTCAGAATTTGTTTAATTTATTTAACACTTTCTCATTTGTTGACTGAAAATATTGTTTTACTTATTGACTGTTGACTATTGCTCTTGACTTATTCATTGTTTCCCTCGTTATAATTTAATTATAATTGACGAAGAAATACAGGGGGCTTTGGTGGCGCAATCTTCAGAGCAAGCACCTTTCACCTCTGAGATTGTGGATCCGATTCTCGCTACGGACTCATGCGTGACACTTATGTGAAAAGAGTCCACGCTCTACCGGAAGTTGTTGGTTTTCTCCGGGTACTCTGGTTTCCTCCCACAGTGAATGTTGGCAGGGTGGGTTAGGATTATCCCCCTAACTGACCCTTCCACCTAGCTGTGCTCCGTGATCAGACATGAGTCCTAAGATGGCTGCCATAGGCGCCGTTAGAAAGCCTTCGACATGATCATGTTGAGCTGCTTCCCTTGTAATTCAGGTATTCAGCTTGGCTCTCAGCTGCAAGTAAGGATGATTAGCACACCTCCAGGGCCCGAAATAACTTTTCCAACGTTTCCAATCATGGTGATCAGCAGTCATGATTTTCTGCTGATCAAATGAAAATCTGGCCGATCAGTATAGGTTACGTTCTTTTTATATGTTCTGTGATAATACTGTAGTATTACAAGGTGTTCGTTAACGACATTAACCGTGTTTTCGAGACAATGGTTCTTGCCGATCAAGATGATCGGCAACCTTGCTTCTCTGCCGATCAAAAGCAATTTCCTGCCAATCATTGATCGTTGATCGGCCGTTATTTCGTGCCCTGCACCCCACTTACTTACTTAACATGTTGCCATGTAATTGCAGCAAGTACATATAATAGAACCACATTTTCCAAGGAATTGCAATTTTTACATTTTTTTGGGATGGAGCAAAATTTTGATTTTCTCACACGAAGGATTTCTTTAACTTGTTTAATTAATTTAGGATTGAAAAACAGTCTTCGAAATTGAAGAATATTTTACTTGTCAGATTGTAAAGAGAAAAGTTCCAGGACTTCATTGATTATAAGTCAGAGTGTACAGTATATTGAGAAATATAATATTTTCGATTCATTCACCTCGATCGAATATAATATTGTGTACATGTATATGTACAATACCCAACAGTTATATGTATGTTTGCTTTTTAGGTCAATTATTGGTCGTGACTTTCAAGGTTTTAAGAAAAATATTTTGGCATTTGTTTACCGCATGCCTCTCGTAAGTCAGCTGATATTGGGGGGAGGGGCGGGATGTCTTAGAATCTGCACAATTTTGGGAAGAATTGTACATAGTAAGAGACTTGTGATATCTATACACTTTGTGAGTCAGAAGACTCACACTTGAAGTTTATGTTGGGGACCTGCCGAAGAGGCAGTGCTTCGTCTGTTGGTTCCTACAGCAGGCGGCGAAAAGGACAACTGCACCTAATAAACGGCCAAAAGGCTGAATAAAACCCCGAAGGGTAAAACAGGCTCAGAACTACTTGAGTAAAAATTGAGGAGACAAACTGAACCGTAAAAATTGAACACTGGTGCGTCAACGTTTTAACCCATGTGTACTGTTATATCAGCGGAGCACACTAAAGAGTTGTTAAAATTATTTAGTAATTGTTTGTTCACTTATGAATAAAAAGTAGGTTTAGGAATGTCTTAATTCCCTAACTCTCAAACGTGAAAGTCACGAAATTTGACTGTTTTACCACCAGCAACTCTGAGCGGGTAATAATATGCAGTGGCGTAACGGAGGAAGAGGGGGCCCTTGGGCATATTTGGTGTGGGGGCCCCTGTTGACTGTTGTCATTGTTATAATCATTGAGATATTATATTTATATTGAATATTTATAGAATGTCCTGGAAAATTCCGTGTCTATAACAATAACAATCTCCAACACAATTAGTAACAAGAATAACTTTTGTTTTATTTGAGATGGAATAACAAAATCAGCTACCGTTGTTGACGGAGGCTTTATTATTTAGCATTTATTAATTTTGCATTTTCTCATTTATTCTTAACCTGCATTTTTTACTTTTTCTAATTTTCTGGGCGATAAGCCGTGGCTGATGGGTCCCCTAACTTTCGGGGGCTCTTAGTTTTTGAACTAATCCTACCCAATGAGCGTTACGCCACTGATAATACTGTAATGTGAACCTGCAACAATAAAACCAGAGTGAAGTGACATACGATCTCGGCATTCTCGGGACATACTGCTCCCCTAGCCTACTGTACTGTCGATCCCAGTAAATTGTTAAAAGTTCAGCTCGAACGATATAATCGTTCATGTAACCAGGCCCTACTGTAGCTGCGTATAGAGGATATAAAACCAAATTAAAAGATGAAGTTGCTGTTAAAAATTAGTGGTGGAGCCAGCAAGGTTTTTTAGGGGGTTGCTGGGCGAGCAGCCAAGCACACCGAACCCAGCACTGGCCAGCAGCATACTGTCATGAAAGTGCACCTAGTAGTTTCTTGGTTACAATTTACAGACATAATATAATTATATAAAATATAAATCCCCGAGACCTCAACAGTCAACATTACACAAATGAGTTATTAATTAATTAATTAATTAATTAATTAATTAATTAATTAATTAATCAAAAACGAAATTGATTATCAGGGGTGGAAAAAGTATCGGACCACGGGACCATTGGTCCCAGAAAATGTTTTGAGTTCCCAGAAAATATTTCCACAAGAAAGAAAAAAATTATAGAGAGGAAAGGGAAAATTGTGAGAGAAAATTGTCAGAGGAAAATTCACACCATGACCTTAGAAATGCATCCATCTTAATAATGCATAGTGTACATGTATAAATGTATTAGACTGTAGAATGATGTAACAAATGTTGTATGGCAAACGCATTTTTAGCCAATCTGGGACACCTGATTTTCAGAATTTTCTGGGGGAGCATGGATCCCCTGATAATGCCCCCCTAGTAGTGCCCTTTTTTGGCATCTGTATTTACCTTAGGATCAGACCCTTGATGCATGTTATCTAAATTAGTTTTATATGTTATATTTCAAGATTCTCAGTGAAATCTTTTTTCCTGTAAAATAAGCATGCCATCCAGTTTCACAAATTGTTAGTGCCACACAGTTACACTGTCCGAGTGTCCATTTACTTATTTGCAGAAAATTTTCAATGTTCTCTTGTGGTCCCAGAAAGTAAAATATTTTTTCCACCCCTGTTGATTATTATAATATTGGGTAATTTGAACTAGTGCTGCGGTGCTTCCTTGAATTCCAAACTTCAGTTGGTCTATAGTTACCACCACCGACACTGTTAGAAATTAAATACTCAAATCGGTCAAGCAAATACAGTAAGAAAAAAATATGGGAATGGGTATTTGTGTGGGTACAAAATATTTGACGTATATGGGTTCTTCATAAAAAGTATTTCTTTACTTTTTTAGCTTTCAATTGTTAATAATGTTCTAAAGGTATAGTGTCACTGTATGCTTAACGTTTATCCAAGGTTTTTGTTTAGTGTGCAGGTTGATTATACAGGGTGTATAAAAAAAAAGTAGACAATTTTGAATTGAATGGCTCTCAATTTCACAAATCCGTTCATTTCATGAAATGTTTGATAAATATAGATTGTTTGCATGGTTGGGGCGTTGATAAATATTCATAAATATAGACTGTCGTGCATATCATATACATGGCTAAACAATTCAATTTTTACATAAGACGAAAGAACAGTTGTTTAGTTTTTCGGTGATACTCTTTTCAAATCGTAACGGTGAGAAATTAGCCCGCGTGCAGGCCCAAGGGAAGTGATAGTGGGCCTGCAAGCAAGGCCCGGTATTTTGTAAAACGCTCCTTTTCATAACACGCCCCATTCGCGCGTCAATTGTCAAAAAAGAACCAATGACAGCACCCAAATATTAACAAACAAACTCGCATTAAAATGTTGCGGGGTTTTTTCTGCTTATTCAGAACATAAACAATGTGTAAATGGCTGCGTTTTAACTAAAAAAAAGCAAGCAACGCAGTCAGTAATTGCCAAATTTGCAAGTGCTCATTTTCAACTAAAATCGGAACAGGCAAATTAGGACGAATTTCAACAGAAAACCAGTCTCAAACTTCAAATCGTGAGGGAAGTCGTGCGACCACATTGGCATTTATATTATGTGATTCGCTGTCGCCATTGGCATTGTTATAATTAAATTGTCTCACTTATCAGATCGTGTGTGCAATTCTTGTTGCCGGCGGAAAGTACGAAATTTATTTCAGTTATTTCATTTGGTAAAGAACTCTACAAAAGAAGAGAGCGTTCAGAGTCCAGATCGTTTCAAACGGCAATTTAATGCCGTCTTCTGTTTCGCTCTCTCTTGTATATCGCAAAGTGTTTCGAATAGGCTTACATGCAACTGCATCTCAACATCAACCAAAAGATACTTTTCTTGAGGAACATATAATGTATCAAGTCTGTTTGAAATTAATGAACTCAAGTAAAGGTTACTATAGTTTACCCCAGTCGTAATGTTGCTATTCCAACACCTCACGACAAGCAATCCCCATTGACATAACGGCAAAAACATCTCTTCCTTCAAATAAACAATAAACAGTCTGTTCTTGTTCCATTTATAGTCGAAAAATGTTATCAATTTTCGAATTTTGAGCTTATCGAGAGCCTTTGTGATGAATCACTGACCTAATTATAGAATCCAACAGCAAACAGCCAATCAGAATGCCGCGTTCGTGGGGGAACGCGGAAAGTACAAAATACCGGGCCTTGCTTGCAGGCCCACTATCAGTTCCCTTGGGCCTGCACGCGGGCTAATGAGAAATGGCCACATACTCGTCAAATCAAGGCCTTTAAATAGCTGCTGAAACTTTCATTTTTTGGCACCAATGCCTATTACGCATGCTTAATTCATGCATTTACCTAATTTGCATATTGTTATTCTAAAAAAAATAAAAAAATAATATGCACGGTTAGTGCATGAATTAAGCTTGTATAATAGACATTGGTGGCAAAAATGAACGTTTCAGCAGCTATTTAAAGGCCTTAAAATTGAGTAAATTCTCTGATATTTGGACCATTGATAAAACACATAACAAATTTCTCGCCCATGAACTCAAAATGCGTTTAAACTTTTAAATTTCGCGCGCAAGCTATTTTTAATGCTGCTAAAAGAGACACCCCCCTGGAAAATTTATCTTTACGAAACATTTTTTGTATTCTACATTATAAGTACCCAAACAATTTATATATAATATATTTATCAAAAATTTCATGAAATTAACGGATTTGTGAAATGGAGAGCCGTTTCAAAGTTGTCTACTTTTTTATATACACCCTGTAAAACTAGAAATCTCTACTATAATGCGTACATGTTAACCCCTTATATGTAGTTTACCTGCTAAGTGCTAACCACTATTTTGTTTGGAGTTTGGAGACAGTGTAATATCTACTGTACTCTGTAGATATATAATGCTTTTTTGTTTAGTTTGGTTTGAGTGAATTAGAGCTTCGCTTTAGAACCCGATTGACGCAACATCTTTTGTCAAAATATTTAAGGTAGGTTTCAGAAATATTTGGAACATACTACTGTAATTTAATAAAAGTACCTAAAGGTGTACACTGTTTATGCAATCACAAAGAAATTATACTACTGTAACAGTGCATGACAATAAGGATGCACAGTACAGTTCAGCACAGTACACGGGGCAGGTTGTACGAAAGCCGGATTGTGCTATCCACCGGATAGCGATTTTTCAAGCTTTCTTAAATTGGCTGTTGACTGGTATACAACCCAGATTAAACTTTTATATAGTATAAAGTTAAAGTTTTCTTTTATTAATTGTTGGATCCATATTCGTAATATCATCACTTTTCAAGCATTTTTGCCACTGTTGAAAAAATCACTATCCGCGGGGGCCGGTTGTTCAAAAGCTGGCTTAGTCCTATACTGTAAGTTAATTAAGAAAATTTTCAGAGCTAATTATATAGAGGGCAAAATTACTCAAGTATGATGAGGGCTATTGATGAGGGCATTTTTTCTCAATTCAGGGCAAAATTGCTTGTACAGTACCTGGTTGGCTGAGACGCAAGCGTGGGATGTTTCTTGTTTTAAATAGCAATAAGGGCAATGGCTTCTCGCTTTGTCGTTGCGGATAATCCTTTTATTGAAGAATTAAAAACTTTTAGTGAAAATTCGAACACTAGAAAAAGTTATTAAGAAATGGGCAGCATTAAGGAACATCGGGGAAGACATGGAGACATACGAGGCACAAGAACTTGACAAGTTCACAATTTACTTACGAATAAATTTTGCCCTCTATGATTAACAAGTTATCGCATAGTTCCTTGTGTTTTCAAACTTTCACAAATTGAAAACACGCGTGAAATTAAACCTTAATTTTACTCGGCCCCATGTGATTACCTATACAAATTCCCAACATGTTGCTTCATGCAAACATGGAAATATTTATAAAGTTTTAAGATACATAAAAAAATATGCACAAATACACAAACCAAAACAGTAGGGTAATTGTAACCCAGGGTTAGTGCTGAACAAGCTTTGAATAACCAGTCCCCTGTGAATAACGCTAACCGGATTTAAAAGAGACATTAAAAACAAAGTATTTACGTTGTCTATCTTGTTTTAGTAATTTTGTCTACTATAAAATAAGCAACCTGGACACAAGAATATCTAACCCAGATCAATTGCTAACCCAGGTACAGTAATACAAATAAATTTACATTACTGTACGTACTAATAATTTAAAGTCTTTGAGGAAAGTGTTGGGCGTTCGTTGGTTAACTATCTGTCCATGTCTCCTATTTACCCATATTAATTAAAGGAATACCGAATGGTTTTCCGTGCAGGATTGTGTGATCCATGCACGAGGGATGTCGCGCTTTTCGGAAAGCGTAAAAATACTCGAGCTGCAGGCGAGTGTATTTTTACGCTTTCCGAATGTCGAGCAACATCCCAAGTGCATGGATCACGCTATCCTGCTTGGAAAACCATTTGGTAATTGTTTTATAAAATAACTACAGTGAAACAATGACATTTTGAGAATCCTGCGAAAATCCCGTGAAGGCATTTTAATTCCTCGTGCAGGATAGCCTGATCCTGCACGGTTATTGACCAATCAAATTGCGTGTTTCACTGTAGTTATTGTAATATACAATTACTTTATGATTTCCGTCTTTGGATGGCCTGATCCAAACAGGCGGGAATGTTGCGAGAGTTAAGAGTTTAAATTTCCGTGTTTGGATGGCCTGATCCAAACACGGGTTTTGACCAATCAGAGCACGCGTTATATACGCGTTATATACATGTTATTTTATAATATTTATTCCTTCATAGGCCATGTGAATTTACTCGTCAATTACATGCAGGAAAGCGTTGGACGTTGAATTTTCATATACCAGTTTTTATTGTTTTGTAGGATGTAGAAAAATTCTGCAGCGGTCTGGTAGAGTTATATTCCAATCTGAGCAAGGTGGGTGAGTCAATGCCAATAAGGCTGAGAATTTGAAGGATCTGGATCAGTGTTCAACGCAAATGTAATGGTTTAGGGTGCACCAGAACTCGGTTCCAGCCCGTTTAATAGTTCGGGCCGGGACATTTATTTTTTAGGGTTGTGGTTCTGGCAGAACTGACGCAAACAACATGGCCCAAACCGGAAAAAGATTATAAAGTTCATTCAATGATGAATATCACATTAATTACTGACATTTTAATTTCATAAACATACAGCCACGGACATATACTGTATTCCACAGCCGGATTTTGGTGGAAATGCTGGGGCAGGTGGAAATATATTTAGGGGAGGTGCAGCGTCACGCCCACCGCCCCCATGGAATGTTAGGACTTAGAATCTAGCCCCCTATTAATGTCAATTACATGATGTATGCATGTATTGTACATATGTATCAGTGTATTTATGAATTATGACTGTACGATTCATCCAATATTGCTCTTCATTACATTGCTACAAAGTTTATTTCGAAATATTCCATTAAAAGGGCACTTGATACAGAGATGATGAATAGTTATCAGTTTTTCAAGTGTGGACTCAACAAGTATCGCATAAAAATTTTCACTTTGATTTATCATTTAATCTTTCCCAAGGGAAGGTGCATGACGTTTCAGTGGAGGTGCAAAACAATCTCTGGGGAGGTGCCCACCTCCCCTCAAAATCCGGCCATGCTGTATTCCAACTTTTTAAGGTTGACAGCGAACAAAGTAACATATAACCATCAACTGTTAAATAAACTCCTGACCAGATCCGGCTCCAGTGCACCCCCATGCAGTGATGGTCAAACATACAATGTTGGCGGTACTGGCTGGGCAAAACTTAAGATCGGCTTAAAACTTCAGCGTTCTTGAAATGCTAAGATAATTCTTCATTCGTTTACAGCCAATTTTGGACATTATTTTGTACGTCTACAGACTCGCTGGTGCGATTGGTGCTCAGGTAATAAAAGTTCGTAAATGTTAAAATAGTGATTTATTTTACAAAGGCATGACGTCATAAATATACTGTACAGTATGTTCAGTTCAAGAAAATGGAAGGTGATTTCTGTAGATTTAGAAACTTCATAATTTACATGCCAATGAAGTATAGGTAACCAGAATATTATAGTCATTGTAACTACAGTATAATTATAATGCCAGAATCTTACTTGCCTTTACTGTATCTTTGATTTAATCGTCGAAAAATTCTCTACGTCTTTTGCTGCCATGTCATGTTTAAACGTTTGCTCGAAATGTCTAAGAACACTCACAATGAACATTTCTATAGGGTCCCCTGGCGATGTTGGGTTATCTTTCCATATCCGGTTTTATTCTAACGAGGTACGTGTACTATGAATGTACGTTTTCAATCACCACTTTTAAACAGGCAATTAATATAAAATTTACTAACAATACACCATTTACCTCACTTGGGTGACGTCTCGAAACATTGGAACGGATCAAATCGACACTTCCTCTATTGCAACTGTCTTTGTTTTTACGCGGCATTCTGTTTTTGTTTTCCCATAATACTATTTTAAGGTTTCTAAATATTTCTTGTGTTTTCATCCCAGGCTGAGACGGCCAGCGGGAAGGATGACAGTGGAAGAGCAACATCTAGAAGGAGAATATAGATATGTCAATTCCAGATTGCTCACAAATAGGTAGAGTAATGAATATAAATTATGAACTACAATGTTATAGTGTATTGAATTGATACAGTAACATTGGGTATTTTCATTCAAATTAACCACTGTATTTCCCAGAAAAATATTGGGCGCATGCTTAGGGCGCTATTATATGAGCTAGAAGTCCGGGCTGGAGGATAAGAGCAACATCTAGAAGGAGAATATAGATATGTCAATTCCAGATTGCTCACAAATAGGTAGAGTAATGAATATAAATTCTGAACTACATACAGTGTATTGAATTGATACAGTAACATTGGGTATTTTCATTCAATTTAACCACTGTATTCCCCAGAAAAATATTGGGCGTATGCTTAGGGCGCTATTATATGAGCTAGAGGTCCGGGCTGGAGGATATTTGTCGCAACTGAGGGCTTGATAATTCTTCATATCATGCGAAAACCGAATTCAATAATTATTCATTATCTGCCAATTTAACTGCATGTCAATCGACCTCGTTTTATCAAAAGCTTATCCGTAAAGTTAATAATCTCATACAGTACAGGCTATTTTCCTCAGTTTTACAGTAATCCGGTTTTCCATTAAGGGAATTTATTCGTGTGAAGCGAACAGAAAAAAGAAATTTGGCAATGTGAAATGCATTAAAATTATTAAAAGGATGTTATAAGTGCAGTCATGCGCACTAATCTTATTTTTATGGTATTATCTTTTAGTGAAGAGATTGCCTTCTATCAAGGAGATTCACGGGAGAAGCTGATAATTAACCATGCTTTTCAAAGACTGGTAAGTGTTTTTAAAGAAAAGCATATGCACAGTACATCATACAATAATCGATGAGAAGATGTTACAGAGGCTT